ACGAAAGTACTCAAGTAGTAATAATAACAATGTTTGACATAAAGATGCCTAAAGGTGGCGCAAAAGCAAAATGTAAACAAAAGGCCGTTGAAATCTGTCAGTCTCATACTATTACAAGGATGTAATAAAAGGGAGTGAACAGATTTCAACGGCTATGGCCTTTCAAATCAAAGGCTAACTATTTAACTATTTTAAATAGCAATTCTTGCTTAAACAGTAATAGTCATTATAAATTAAAAACATTTTCCACTTTTGTAATTTTTTGTTAGGAAACAATTTTGAAAAGTTAACTAAGAATAAAGCTACTTTCTAAACGCTCCTTTAGGCTGGTACCATGAAATAATTACTGAAGGTAGTCTCATTTGAAAATTTTATGACGGCAACTCTTTTTAATTTGGAACTCATCTATGAATTTTAAATAATATGAAAATTAAATTCCATAACATTTTACGTATGACGATTGGCATATTTTCAATAAATTAAACAAAATATATTTTCTAAAGCTGAGCATTGCTCTCAAGATTTAACCATGGTTGTTACATCTTATATTTATAAGTTTTAGAAGCTGGTAACTTCAAAATATTTATGAATATTAATCATTTAACAATTTTTGCCACTGAACACATGATATGCGTACATTTTTATTTAAATTTGGAAAGCTGAATTCAGTCAAAGGCAAATTTATGAAAAAAAAAAAATTGAAACATATGACTGCATGAGACTACCTTGTATAATTATGCAATGGGCTGGTACAAAAATGATATATTGTCTGTTCCCGTACTGCAAGAATCTACTCGATTTTACTATTTTCTTCGATATCATAAAGGAAAAAAGCGTTATTGGAGTAAAAAATAGTAGATTCTTGCAGTACGGGAAGATACCAATAATGTTGCCAGTCAGCTGACATTTCACTGGTTTTATAATATCTTTGGCACTGATGAATATTTCATAATTTGAATAAGAATTGGGATAAAATAAAAAAAACATTCCATAAAAAACCATGCATGAAAACATATATTGTTTTTAAATATAGTAATATTCATTATAAATTGAACAAAAACATCAAATTTTCAGCTCTTGCAATTTTTTTGTTAGGCATCTTTTGTGAATTATAAATGTAAACAGAAGACATGTGTACATCGTTGCAATTATTGAAAATTTTTGGATAAATAATAAATTTTACAGCTCGTTTCAAAAATTAAATTGAGATAAGAGCGCGTTTAGACTACTAAATCCACTAGATTTCAAATTCCATAGCGTCTCCTTAATCATGTTCACAAATCCAGTGGATTATATTTGACGTATACGCTATGGAATTAACATTTGTGATCGATTGGATTTCGTAAATCTAAATGCACATTAATACTCATTATTACGGTAAAGTTATAGTCTAAACACGACTCTACCCACGAAACACAAAAAAAGATTGAACTAGGGACAAATAAACACAAAAAACGTGAACGGAAATCTAGATAAAATTTTCATTTAAAATTAACACCAGAGCCTGCAAATATTATTATTATTCCGGTAGGGGAAATGAAGTAGATTGTTAGAGACTCTGGAAAAAATTTACTCACTCTTAATCGTTATATTTTTGTAATCATCTTTACTTCCGCCTGTATTAAAAATTATAGCCGTGAACATTAGCGAAAGTGCTTTTTATGAAAACAATTGTTGTGGTGTTTATGTAAAAAAAATATCAGCTGTCATTATTCCGAAGTCAGTGTAAATAATCTTTAATTCATTTTCAGGATTTTGTAAACCCACATCAAATAAATAAATACGCTATTATAATACGTTGACATTGTACCGGATTTCGTTAACCCAGTGGGTATAAATTTTCAATTCCATTGTATATATGCCAAATACATCCTCATAAAGTTGGTTAACGCGGTAAATAGTTCTAATGTACATGGAGTTTTAGATTGCATATACACCGAAAAGGTTTTACGTAAATTATTATTTGACATAAAGCGGGTTTACATATAACATTTGATCATTATAAAAGATCAAATCAGGGTGTATTTTCTTAATCAGAATAAATTTACCATGATTTACCATAAACATTTAATTCATCTTGCGGCAGGGCTTATTTCAAATAATGATACAACGCGGGTTTTGTAGCAAAAAATACAACTCGCTCACAATGAACCAAAATTTGCAAAAAAATTAAAAAATGTGATTTTTTACTTTCCAAACGATCACAGCATTGCAAAAACATTTCCATTGTTTTATTTTTTTTTAAGGGGACCCCCCCCCCCCCCATTCTCGGTGTCAAAATTTTTTTTGATTTAATTCGAATCTACTCTAATTCTAGAATGTTCCTACAAAATTTCAAGTAAAAATCTCAAGAACTCTTGAAGATATAGCCGATTTATTGTGTCAGCATCAAGTGACGGCTAAAGGGCTTCTCAAACTTTAAACGCGTTTTTCTCAAAACGAATGGCGGGCACGATAACTCAAAAACTAGTAATCCAATCGGTTTCAAATTTTGACACGTTTCTCTGGGAGTGTGTAGCTCTCGTATGAACTAGGATAAAGCCAATCGGTGAAGATCTTCCTTATTTTTTAACTTAGTTTGTGGTAAAAAATAGGCGATTTTCCATAAAAAAATTTTCAAAGTTCCGCCATTTTGTTAATTGTTGTGCGAAGTCAATAATCCTAGTTCATACGAGAGCCAGACATGTCCTCTTTCTAACACAGTTGGAATTTTCGGATTGATGTTCCAGTGAGGAGTTATCATGCCCGCCATCGAAAATAAGGACTTTTCTTTGAACCCAAAAAACAACAACAAAAAATTTTGGTAAATTATTTTTCTTCCTTTTTAAATCTTCAAATATATATGTGCCAAGTTACAAACCTTAACAAGCATTGGTATTCATTTACCAGCCCATTTAAAATCTTAAAAATAAAAAATCGAGAATGGGGGGGGTTCCCTTAATTTACAAATTGCAAAGAAATAGGCGCAAATTTATAATTTAGTTTGTTTACAAATAAGCATCAGCTGATCCACTTTTAGGGAGTGGATCAGCTGGTGTATTTCAGAATTTTGTTAATCGAGTCGATTTAAAATCATATATGTAAAAGGACTTTCACAATCCGAACAGACGTATTTTTTGTGTCTGAAAAGAAGATATAAATTGTGATAAAAACAATTGTCCATATTGCCAATAAATAACAATTTGCAAAGATCGATGTCAGTGGAGGGACGGGCTTTATCTGTAAATGTACCACCTGACAAAGAAGGGGATACACGAAAATCTAAGGGAATCAACCAAAAATCACCAGAAGGCTCTTTTCCAAAGGAATCATTTAAAAATCAACCAAAAATCGCCATAAGGCTCTTTTCCAAAGGAATTAGTTAAAAATTTGTATCATCCCATAATTCTTCCAAGTCTAGGAATATCAACACCAATTCAAAAGAAAAATTGAGTGGGATCGTTCTTAATCCAAACGATCAAGATGACATCAGGATCAAGTCATTTCTCAAAATAAGTTTACATTGCTAGGAGATAGTGGTGCCCTTTTCGAACCATGTGTTCCAATAACACAACCATCTCAACCTCCTATCGAACTGTCGCCGCTTCTTGAAATGAATTCGCATCGAAATCGGGTAACAATCTTAAAGGTTTTTGTCCCCCTATATATACGTCAAATATATTATCATAATGTAAGCCTATATGTAAACATACTTGTAATGTTGTCATATTGAATTTAATTTGGCCCGTGTAAACGGATTGTTGTTTTCATATTTTATAAAATAACTTTATGACACTGGTATTTTCTAAAGGCCATTGACATTATAGAACCACTAATTAAACGTTTTACTTCCTATCAGCAATTTAATAATAGCGGCACGTGTAAATTAAGTGTTAGTTTGAAACAAGGTTTAATTATCATACAACCCTCATATACCCGTATAACAGAAATGCAATTGTTGTTATACGCCCAGCTTGTTTTTAACTAACCTTACTCATCTGATAACAATGAGTAGTACTGCCACTACTACGGAACAGCTGATGCTAGCAGTAATTACAATTAATTATTATCTCTGTTATCACGACATGGGGAAATAGAAAACTTTCACTAAGCGTATGTAAATAAACGTGAAGCGTAAGTTTTTTTTGTTTGTGGGAAATCAACAAAAGAAGTCATGACTCTTTGTAATAAAAAGAAGGAAGATGAGCATCAAATTTTGAAATTAATTTAATTGTATGCGACAGTTATTTTGTTGTTGTATTTCAAAAAATATATATTCAAATGATATTGTGGTTTACAAGGTTAGAGTGCGTGACCGAGGGAATGAAGATCAAGCTGAGACTTTGATAAACATATTTTTTCAGTTTTTTGGCGTATTAATGACACAGAATATAAAGAAGAAGAAGCAAAGTAAACAAAGACGCGGCAAACAAGTTGTTTTCATTGAACGACGAAATTAATTTCTGGTTTATTTTTTTTTCTGGTTTATTTTGAGTTTTTTCATTAGCACTGCCAGTTCGAAGTTTGCATTTTAAAATATATTTTAAGTAAACTCGGAAATGTTTTATTTTGCTGTTTCTTCTTCATCACATTAGCACTTATTGTCATTGTTGTTGTTATTTCTTTTTAAAACGAACTAACGTCAAAGTAGGTATAAAACAAAAATTCATTGACAAAGTCTACGATTAAGGCAAAGTAGAAAAATAAATAAATCAGCAATTATAATAAACGATGAACCTTAACACACGCACACACACGCATACAATCACATATCCAATCACAACAACAACACATGTGTGTTCCCATTACGGGATAAACATTTGTAACAGGCAGATGCCAATGCAACCAACCACCACGAACGACCAACCGACTACCACCACTAATCATCTAAACATTGTTTAGATCTTTCAAAATAACATCGTATTTCTTTTTTTTCATTGTCTGTTACTTGGTTTTTACAACAAAAAAACTTTTTTTAAATATCGAAATTTTGTTTGTGTTTTTTTTTTTGTAAAACTCACGTAAGATCTCGTTTAGCTGTTGCACCGGCTATGTAAAACCATCGCCAGCCCGGTTTGGTGAGCAATATCACCAACAAGGCGACGAGGAGGGCAGGTAATCCGAATGTCCAACCCATGTAGTACCAGATAAGCGTTACAATCGCGGTTAAAATGCCGACACCAACCACACAGCTCACAACGCGTAGTAAGACTGAAGAGCTGGAATAAAATAGAAAGAATATCAAAGGTTTTTTTTGTTCAAAATTTCAACACCGAACTGTGTCGGAAATGTATCTGACTGAACCGAAGTGAGTCAGCTGATAATACAAAGAAAAAATAAAGCAAAATAAAATGATGTTAAGTTGCTATGAGCGGTAGAGTGTGCGAGAGTAGTAAACATTGAGAGAGACGGCGTTAACTGTTCGAACACAATCATTGCGTTGACGCCGATTGTTTTGAATATCAACGAACGTTGCTGACAATTGCATAGATGAGAAGAAGAGAGCTTTGTTTTTGTAATGAGCATATAATTAGGTAAACGGTATTGCCATATTTATAAAAATGTATATTTTGTGGGGTATTTATGTTTAATAGCTATTGTCAATTGAAAGTCATTAATGTTGGAAAATAAAACAATAATAAAAAATAACAAGTGAAAAAGCGTTAAGTTCGGCCTAGCCGAACTTTGGATACCCTCCACCATTGGTGAAATGATTACAACAGAGTGTTAGAACCAAACCCAAAACGCGGAAAAATCGGATAACTATTTTAATATAAAATATGGGAGCTATGCCTAAACGTGGACCCATATCTTCGAACTGCAGGCAAAAGACAAATCCATGCAAAATTTCAGCACCCTATGTCAATTCCTTCAGAAGATAGCGTGATTACAACAGACGGACGGACATGGCTAGATCGTCTTAGAATTTTATCCTGATCAAGAATATATATACTCTATAGGGTCGGAAATGAATATTTCGATGAGCTACAAACGGAATGACAACATTAATATACCCTCCATACAATGGTGGAGGATATACAAATTTTAATAACATTTTAAGGGAAATACCATGGCACAAGTTAGTCTCATGCAATCATATGTTTCTAATTTTTTTCATATATTTGTTTTTGACAACATTCACCTTTCAAAATTTAAACGAAAATATCCTCCTCAGAAATGTACGCAAATCTTGTGTCCAGTGGCAAATTTTTTTAATCATTTATATTTATTATTTTTAGGTTCCCTGCCTGTATAATATATAAATATAAATTGCAATATTCTACGTTAAATCTTGAGAACAATGTGGAGCTTTAGAAAAAATATTTTTTTTTTAATTTGTTGAAAATTTGCCAATCGCCATGCGTAACATTTTATGGAATTTATTTATTATTATATTTTTAACCATGGCATAATTACAGAAGATAGTCTCATTTGAGAATTTTATGATGGCAACCCTTTATAATTTGGAACTCATCTGTTAATTTTAAATAATATGAAAAACAAATTTCATAAAATTGTAGGTATGTCGATTGGCATATTTTCAATAAATTAAACAAAATATATTTTGTAAAGCTGAACATTGCTCTCAAGATTTAACCATGGTTGTTACATCTTATATTTATAAGTTTTAGAGGCAGGGAACTTCAAAAATGTATAAATATATTTGATTTAGAAATTTTTGCCACTGAACACATGATATGCGTACATTTCGATATTTCCATTTCAATTTAATACTGTCAAAGGCAAATTTATGAACAAATTTGAAACGCATGACTCCATGAGTTTGTTTTGTTGGTTTGTTAAAAGTTGTATTTGCTTTTAATGATGAATTAAAAGTTAGAAATTTAAATGCATCCCGACGTGTGAACATTTTTAAAAGACATTTTTAATTAAAATACCATATTTGGGCCTCATATATGTAACTGAATTGACCAATTTTCGTTTCTTTATTGTTTTAGCTTTTTAAATAGGAATTCCGGATACTTGGTGGGTTAAAAACCTTATTAGCAAATACATTTTAATACATGTCCAATTTTTGACATAGCCCCCAAATAAAAAATTTGCCCGGAAAATTGTCAACATGTAATATGGCAACATACTTCATTATACCAATTTAAATTTACTCTCTCTTGTTTACATTTGCTCTCACACAGCCCTTTTAACAATGCGAATAAAAATAAATTACCTTTTGCTTACCAATTAGTTGTTGTTAATAACTAATGAAACAAACACAAAAGAAAAACAATAACACTGTTGCATGCTAATTAATTTTTTTCTTGGTTAGTTAATAATTATGGTTAATAAATATTTTAATTAGTAGTTAGTTAATGGTAATTATTTTTAAAAAATGTATAAACAAAAGCCCATGGAGGCAATAAACTTACCCACGATCGCTGGCAACTTGGTTTGTGTTGTCATTGTCGGCAGTACCGTTACGTTTCACATCAATGTCGATAACAACGGGCGATGTTTTGTTGTTATCGCTACCATTGCCATTCAATTGTGGTGGAGGCGGTGGTTGTTGTCCGTGCTAATTGTGGGGAAAAAGAAGAGAATAGAAGAAATACAATTAGTTTGTGTGTGGTGGAAACGAAATTATACATATTTTTTTGGGACAAGTTGTGGTAATAAATGGAAAAGTGGTAGGGTTTTGGAAATAAAATATTCGTATGTTTAACATAATTATACTTTATAATTTATATACTGGAAATCCCACAATATTGCCAATATTTCTCATATATATGTTCAACTGGGTTGACAAATTCTCAAACTATTATAATATTAAACATTCGACAAGAAAACGTGAACTTTAACTGTATGCATGACTGAGGTGATAGACCAAATCTACAGTATATCAAGAATGAGTTTACATTCAGAATATATAAAACTTTTTTTTCAATTTTGTTAATAATAAACATAAATGTTTCTTTATGAAAGGTATCATTTTGATTTGTTATAATTATATACATACAGTGAGTCACAGTTAAAAGTATCCACCTGTGTTTTTATACCTTCCACCATAGTATGGAGGGTATATTAATTTTGTCATTCGGTTTGTTACTCATCGAAATGTTCATTTACGACCCTGTAGAGTATATACAGTGGTGGTCACAGAATTAAAACATTTACTGTGGTAAACATTTTTTGATCAGCCCTCGATTCGTTTGAAGTATTTTTGAAAATTTTTTAATTCAGAACACTTTGATATACTGCACTTAAAAGATTTTGTGCGAAAATAGAAAATTATTGCATGCAATTTCCATAAATAACGGTTTTTATGAAAATACATCGATTTTGAAGTGGCCATTTAATTAAAACATTGTGTGATTTTTTACTTTACTGTATTTTTTGAAAATATTTTTAAAAAATCTCATTAATTAAGCTCAATTATGTAAACTAAGCACTGATAGAATCATTTACAGATAAAAATATCTGAAAAAATCTGTAAAATCTATCAAAATTGCCAAAAAATTTGTACAGTACACCTAACATTCAGAAAACACCCTTATTATAGAAAATAAAGGTCCGAAAACACTAGAAATTGTTAGAATTGGTAAAAAAACAATTAATAATTTTCTAAATGAATAAACATTTGAAATAAAAACTCAAAAAATTGGAATTAACCTAAAGGAACGGTTCAATTTCAATAGCCTTTACTAAAGAAGGCCGGAATATTATTACAGTATGTGAGAGATAATATCGATTGATATTGGTATTTATTATATCAAATCGATTATTCGAGTAGTACAGAATATATTTTATCAAAAAATATATCAGTCACAACAGAACGAACAGAGATCAAGGCCTATGTTGACGAGTAAAGGTTTCTGGCACACAGCAGTATTTTTGATGTTCAACACAAGTCTTCAAATATTTGTCAAAGTGTAAAATTTTTCCTAATTTTATACTAAAATAGATTAAGTGGAAGTTATTCTCTTCATAAAATATTATTTTGGAAAAATATTGTCATGTTATTTTAAGGGTTAAGAGTTGACCATCAATCATGCTGCTGTGTGCCAGAAACCTTTACTCGTCAACATAGGCCTTGATCTCTGTTCGTTCTGTTGTGACTGATATATTTTTTGATAAAATATATTCTGTACTACTCGAACAATTGATTTGATATAATAAATACCAATATCAATCTATATTTTCTCACATACTGCAAAAATATTCCGGCCTTCTTTAGTAAAGGCTATTGAAATTGAATCGTTCCTTTAGGTTAATTCCATTTTTTTGAGTTTTTATTTCAAATATTTATTCTTTTTGAGAATTATTAATTGTATTTTACTAATTCTAGCAATTTCTAGTGCATTCGGACCTTTATTTTCTATAATAAGGGTGTTTTCTGAATGTTAGGTGTACTGTACAATTTTTTTTGGCAATTTTGATAGATTTTACAGATTTTTGCAGATATTTTTATCTGAAAATGATTCTATCAGTGCTTAGTTTACATAATTTAACTAAATTAAAGAGCTCTTTAAAAAATATTTTCAAAAAAAATACAGTAAAGTAAAAAATCACACAATGTTTTAATTAAATGGCCACTTCAAAATCGATGTATTTTCATAAAAACCTTTATTTATGGAAAATTGCATGCAATAATTTTCTATTTTCGCACTAAATCTCTTAAGTGCAGTATATCGAAGTGTTCTGAGTTAAAAAAATTTCAAAAATACTTCAAACGAATCGAGGGCTGATCAAAAAATGTTTGTCACAGTAAATGTTTTAATTCTGTGACCACCACTGTATATTCTTGATCAGGGTAAAATTCTAAGACGATCTACGATCACGCTATCTTCTGAAGGAATTGACATAGGGTGCTGAAATTATGCATAGGTTTGTCTTTTGCCTGCAGGCAGGTCAAGTTCGATGATGGCTATATTGGTCCATGTTTAGGCATTTTAGTGGTTTTGATCGCATTTGCAACTGAATTGTTATTTATTGCTTTGTAATTTAGCACTTTGATTTCTTGTAAATTTCTCCACTAAAAATTATAAATATAGGTCTATTTTTTCAATTTTCGGTATTTTGAGGTTCTTGAGCGCGTTTTCAAACCAAATTCGCTGTAATTTATTAATATTCGCCGCCTTTTAGGGGTAGTCCCCATATAACCCCCTTTTAATATTAAATTTTTTATCTGATTTATTCCGTGTGTTGGGATTGTCCCCATATAGGCGTATTCTGCCATAGTATGTGGGTAGTCGTTACACGGAATATCCAATTTTTACTCTAAAAAGTGTTGAATTTTACGACGATTCAGCCATCTGTCATAATAATTTTGCCTTCTAAAGATATCGTGACAAAAAACTCGAACCTGACGATATTGAAATATATTGGCATGCATTTAGGCATCTCCTCCATATAATGATACCTCCTGAAGGAAAGAATGGAGATACAATACTAAAATTTTGGGTTCGAAATTGACATATATCGGTCATTAATTAGGCATAACACTCATATACTGATAACCCCAAATATTCGCTAATTCCTACACTTTGTAATCAATATTGGTCCCCCTTTAGGCATAGCCTCATATAACTTTGCAATCTAAATATACTCTACCATGCGTTATTAGTATCAGTCTACGCATTGGGGTTTTATGAAAAATCCTCACTAAAAATTGCTGAAATTTGTATTTGGTGTACATAATGGTTTACATAAATTGGTTTGTAGAATTATCGTATAGGTTCACTTTTCGGTATGTTCCCTCTATTTTTATTTGAAGTATTTGTCCACCATAGGTAGGAGGGCATCCAATGTTCGGCTCGGCCGAACTTAACGTTTCTTTCACTTGTGTAAGATATAATGGATTTCATAGGTGGAATCTGCTTCGAAAGTCATTGTCATGTAATACTCCTTAAATAGTTTTAGGGTGAACAAGTTTTCCGGTAAATTATCTAATACCTGCTGCTAACATAGGGTCTTTAACAATAAGCCAAACATACCTTCGAGAAAGCTTTTTTGGACGTCCACATTTAGGTTTTGTTTGCAACAGTTTTATATAATTTTAATTTCTTATGATTACCCTTTTTTACATCGCTACGATCCTCACTTGCTCAAAAATTGTTTGAATGTAAATGAATTTGTAAATAAATCGGCAAAAAAATAACGGTACATCGATTAATAGATCAATGTTGGAATATACTTTTATAATCTGGGACCTATGTCATATATCTCATAATAATTCTCGTGTTGAAGGAATACAAAAACAGTTCACTAAGTTTGCTCTTCTTTTACTATATCCACAAATTGAGATTATTTAATTTTGTTACTGGGTATACAATAATTTAGTTAATAATCATATTGATTCGCCAGAACTTTTGGCTTTAATTGCCTTTTTTGTTACTTCGTGAAGTTTAAGATATATTGATTTATTTAATGCTTCGTAACATCGTACAAACTAAGATCGATATGTTGAAATTAAATCGTTTAAATATTGATAACCAAAGAGCATTGCATTGATTTTAGCGCCTCCAAACCAATATTTAAATTAAGTATTAATTTTGCTTTTCCCTTTTAAAACTTAACACTATTCTGTGAGGAATCGAATGTTCTATTGACTAGAATAACTAAACATATTGGTCGATTTAATTTTTCCTCTTTTCCGAATTTGAAATCAAATTACTTAAACTACACTGTTGATTTTTTTCCATACGTGTGTGCAAAATGCTCATTAAACTTTTTCCCGCTAGTGAGCACGGCGGATATAAGTATTCCCGGCTCAATAGAACTGAAACCCAATCAAATGATGTGTTCTGGTTAAAAACACTTTGTCAATTTTTCGATATATGTATACCGCTTATGAACATCTTCCATTGGCGAGGATATAAATGTCATGTCCCCAATGACCATTCACAAATAGCAATTCGAACACATGTCAGTCCCAAATTTATCACCTCCTCACATGCATATGCTTCTCAAAATTATTATTATTCAAAATTGACACACTTTATTTCTTGTAACTTACTGATATGTAATAAGGTTGACCACTATAATAACCGTAATTATTATTATTGTGTTGTGATGTCGCAGCTGGCTGGGATGTAGAACGAAATTTCTTGCGATAACGACGTGCAGTCAAATGATGTCACAAAATGGTATGCGGCGAACGACGTATCGGTAGATAATAGTTAATGCTGCTTGAGCGAAATAAAAAATTTCTTATTATCATGTTACGACGATTTGTTGTTGTTGTTTTCGTTCCTACTCGATTTGTTTTGTTTGCACAGAAAGGGTATGTGAGACGTGTTTACTTAATGCCCCTGTGGCTATGAGTGTGTATCCTGTTGGCTCCTTTTTCACAATTGCTATAGAATTTTCGCAAGAAGTTTGGATGATTTTTTTGTTCCTGGAGATTGTGAAATTGCTAAGGGTGAAATATTATTTGCGAAGTAGTCCCGAAAGTTGTTTGTTTGTAAGGGTTAATTAAATATTTATCACGGTGATGACACAAAATCTTATGTTTTTGTTATGAAAGTGGCGAAATATCCACTACTGTCGTCGATTTATGAATGCAACAACAAAGTG